TCCGAACTTCTTTCGACATCAATTTTACTAATACATAATTATTACTTTCTTCTTTACCAATTATTTCCGCATAAGTGCCGGCTCCTCGAATTAATTGTCCGCCTTTTTTTGGTTTTAACTCTAAATTATGAATCGGAGTGTTAACCGGAATATAACGTAATGGCAAATTATTTCCTACTCGCAAGGGAATGTTTTCGTTTTCTCCGCTCATAACTTTATCATTAACTTTTAACCCTTCGGGGGCAATGATGAAAGCAAAACTCCCATCTTGATAACTTATGAGAGAAATGAAAGAGTTGCGGTTAGGGTCATATTCGATACTTTTGACTTTTCCTTCTACATTGTCCTTTTCATAGCGTTTGAAATCAATAATTCGGTAAAAACGTTTGTGTCTTCCTCCTTGGTGTCGAGTAGTAATCTTTCCTTGGTTATTACGTCCAGATTGGGACTGAATTATTTTGAAAAGTTGCCGAGGAGTCTTTTGTGGATTAGGAACTAATTTCTCGCGGTAATCGATAAGAGTAGTATTGCGACTAGAATTGGCAATCGGTCTGAGTGTTTTCATATCTTTTTACTTATTTAATGATTTAAATTTATTATACGTTGTTTGTAATTTACTTATCTCTTGTCCCGATAGTTTGGCATCTAGTATTTTTAGACTAGATAACTATTTTGTTAGATTATTCCAGTTCTAACTAACTGAACCAATTCTTTTTCAAAGAAGTATTTTAATTTATTAATCTACTTGCTTTGGCTTTAATATTCTAATGGTGGAACTGGTTAAGAAATCGCAAGATTGAAGTGGTTTTAGTAAACCACGATAAATCCAAAGGAGTATTAAGAACTTAATCTTAACAAACCTAATTAGAATACTACTTTACCCTATTTTTACTTCTTGGGAAAGTCGCTACTAGTCTTTTTTAAGGCTACTAGTGCGAAAGGGAGAAGTGTGATTTTAGCAATCACTACCTATTTTTCTTGTTCTCTTTAATTCTTTATGCCACCCACGGGCATAAGTATAGTTGATATTTGATAAATAATTGGTTTTTCATGAGTTCATATCTTTTGTTTTTACTTAATTAATTTATTATACATTTTTATTTCCTATGCTTAGGAAATTTAATTTATAATTCTCTAATTAGATAATGATTACAC